GGCAGCGAGGTAGCCGGCGGCTGCAGTGGGGATGGTGGCGAGGATGGCCGTAATGAAGGCGTCGGCGGGTAGGTCGGTGTCGGCGGCGGGGATAGCAGCAGGCTCGCCGGCGGTAGTGGTGGCGACGAAGGCGGCTGCAGCAGCGGCTGGGACTGGGACAGTGGAGGCGACGGGAAAGGAAGCGGTAACGGTGGCAGTAGCAAGGATGGTGACGGCGGCGGGGTCAGCGACAATGGCGACGACGACGCAGGTGTCAGGGAGGGCGACGGCGGTGTTGATGGCGGCGGGAGCGATGGAGGCTGGGGAGAACGAGGCGGCGATGGCGAAGGTGGCGGTCGGAAAGGGACGGGCGGTGCGGGGCTTGGAGGCACGGCAGGAGACGGAGGCGGAGGTGGCGGCCGAGGCGGGGCAGGTGGAGATGGCGGTGGAGCGTTCGGTGCGTGCCGTACCGTGGCCACGGCGGCGCTCTGGTCGGCGATGCCGGCCGGCAAGTAGAACTCCATAGAACCCCGGGTGATGTTGTTGACGGCGGGGACGAAGTAGCCCGAGACGGACTCGTTGAAGCGCACCAGCTCAACGCCGCTGCTGGAAAGCAGGACGAAGCTGACGCCCATCCGGGCCTCCGCGTCCGGCGAGTAGGCCCTCATGAGCTGGATGTCGTACACACCGTGTGGCAGCGTCAGGTCAAACGGCGGCAGGAGCGCATGGAACCCGCGTCCGAAGCTGTACGGCAGGCTTCCGAACGACCACTCCCATGAGAACGCAATTCCGAAGTCCGGGTTATTGTTGGGCTTGGTCACGCACAGGCTGTAGCTGGGCCAGGGCTCCGAGGTCCTGCCATCGACCGTGCGGTACAGCAGGAGCGGGGTTTGGTGCGGGGCGCTGCAGCTGGCAGCGATGGCGCTGAGCTCCAGGGTGGCGGCGGAGGAGCCACCGGTGGAGGGGACCGAGACGTGGATCCAGATTCCATCTGGGTAGTTGGACACGAGCAGGGGGGTGCTCACCCCCGCCGTCAGGTTGTGGCTGCCGGAGGCGCCGCAGTCGGGGCTGGGGCAGTACCACACCCTGGCATCTTGGCTGCGTGTGTGAGGAAAGGCGTGGGAGGGGTGGTGGTCAGCGCTAGGTCAGGTCGTTCGAGCGCGGGTAGACAGGATAGCACGTGTCTTATCAAAGCGGTGGAACTGGCACGGCATGAATGTTGGTATGCGGGTGCACAACAGAAGTGCAAGGCAAAGGAAAGACCGTCGTTTGAAGGACAAGGTGTAATTTACACTTTTTCCGGTGCCGATCAGGATTCCTACTGTTGACGTGGCGGAGGTGAAAGCGTATTATGGATCGGTATTCAGCACACAAGCATTGAGCTTGTTCCCCGCCTCACCTGGTCCCCAGATCCCCCGTGTAGATCACCATGTTTGAGATGTCGCCATGTGGTGAGATGTGGTAAACGCAGTCGTCACCGGGCCGCAATGTGATGCTCCCAAAGCTGCCGGACTCAAGAACCTGGGCCGCGGGAACGAACCAGGCAGCCTTCAGGGCTTAGGGCTTGTTGCAACACGCAGATGGGTGGCCACAGAGATATGAGTCATAAATAAGT